AGGCTGGGGTTCACTAGGGCAACCCTGCCCTTCCATTTTCCTGCCACTCACTGGCTGCTGTGTGGGCAAGGCAATTAACCTGTCTGCGGCCAGCAGCACTGTGCCTGTGGGGAGCTTGCTGCAAATGCAGTTTCAGGCCCCACCCCAGACCCACAGCATCGTCTGCCCTATACACACTCCCTGAGATTCACGGACTCTTTAAAGGTTCCTCTTCTGTAACATGGAGGTAATGAAAGTCTCCCCTTGGGTGTGGGTGGGGGTGAGGATCCATGGGGAGGTAACAGCCCAGCACCAGGCGTGTCACAGCAGTTGGTGGGCAGTGACCACCCCTCCCCAGCTGCTGGCAGGGCCCTGGCCAGAGGGCTGGGAGGTGGGGGTGGGAGAGGTCCCACCACTGTCAGCAATCCTGGCTTCCCCCAGAGGAACTCGGGGGAAACTCAACACAGCCCATTTAGCCGAGCAGGCTGGGACAGGCTGTGGCTTTGTGGTGCTGAGTGAAGGGTCCACTTGTAGCCAGCTCTTGCCCGGCTGGCCCACATCTCCATGCCCTCAAGGAAGGGTCTGAACACAGCTTTGGGGACTTTCTCTCAGGAAGGTGTAAATGACTGATAATAGTGCCAAAGCTCCCCATCCTGAGTAAGGGCCCGGCTCCTGACTGCAAAGAGACTCCTCTTAGATGGCTTTAGGGCCAAAGGGGAGGTAGGTGGGGAGAGGGGTTGCCGGGAGGGTGTATAACGGGGCTCTATAGCCTTGAGTCCTGAGCAGTCCTCAGTGGCGTAGGCCAGAGCCTGGTGCCTGAGGGGCCAACCTCCTTCTCTGGCCAGAAAACCAGAACCTTTCCGGAGATCCTCGGGGTGGTGTGGAAAATTCCCAGGCTATTTTGTGCCGAACCCCCCTTCTCCCGCCCCTGCTGGCACCTCCCTGGACACAGTGGTGTGGGCGTGGCTTCCTGCTCCCCTCGGGGCAGGCTCATCAGAGGAGGGGAGGGGCCACGGCCAGCTGCTTATCTTCTCCCTGCCCATCTGCTTTAAAAAGGCGCCCCTCCCCACACCCCCCTGCTTTCTTGTTTCCCTCCCACTTTTTGGTGACTGAGCTCTGTGCGCTTCACATCCGTTGATAAGCTCTGTGAGCCTGGCCCAGGGACTTGACAGGTGGGTCTCTTTCCCTGCAGCTGAACTGTGAACTGTGTAAGGGCTCAGCAGCTGCTGATGTCCTGGGGCCGATGTCTGCTCCTCTCCCCCACCCTGCCCCCACTGAGCAGAAGCTTCTCACGGCCAGGAGTGTCGCTTCCTGGGCAAAACTAGTGTCTCCCTGACTGCTTGTCGGACGGGAGGTGGACATCTGGCAGTGCCATCTTGCAGGTGCCAGGGCAGGGAGGCATGCTGGGGGGCGTGGCCCCACCCAGGCCACACGTGTGTGCATGTGGGTTCAGAAGCATGGACAGCTGTAGAGAGCTGCGAGTGCAAACACACACGTGGATGTACGCAGACACACAATGACTGCCGTGGTTGCCCACACTGCCCAGCAGCCGTGACCTGCCTTCGGCTTGGGTTTGGCTCTGAGTTGGCTGTGGCCTGAGTTCCCCCTCCCCCATGAGGGGAGTTGATGGTGTACAGAGTGGGTGGGCCCTGCCTCATCCAGGGGACACTCCAAGGCCAGGCCTGGTGTTGCTGGGATAGCCTCACAGGCTGCCTCGACCATGTGTGCGTCCCCCACCCCTGTCCAGGGGCAGCGGCAGGGCCCCAGGGCTGGTTCCTGGGTGACTGTTGTCTTGCCAGCTGGACTTTGACCCAGCCCTCTGTCTGCTCCATTCCCAGCTAGACCCAGGCTGAGAATTTGCATTTCCACCCCAGAGACACAGGGAATCTGTGTTAACAAGATCTCCAGGTGGTTCTCACAGAGCCCCAGCTGATTCTGATCTAGGTTGAAATGCCCTGCAGATTCTATCTGGGGCTGGAAGTGCAATTTCTCAGCAAGGGGTCGAGCTGGACTGGACCAAATAGGTTCAAAGCCTGCCCTCCTCCCGCCAGGCTTGCAGACCACCCCAGCCCTCCTCCTGGCCCAGAAGGCCATGAGGAGCTGGTGGGTGGTAGTGAAGCGCCAACCCCCCCATCATTTGTGCTCCTTGTGCCTCAGTTTCCTTCCCTGGTAAGTGAGCATGAATATGGGGCTGGACTGTGCACACGTGTGTATATATGTACACACACATCTGATTAGCTGTGCATGTGCGTACCATGTGCCTCCCTGCCTGTGTGTGTGTATGCACAGTGTGCATGCATGTGCCCACGTGTGGCTGTGTCTGCACACTTGTGTGTGGGATAGGTGTGTCTGTAAGGTGCTTAGCGCATACCGAGAAAACCACACCCACTGCCATTGAGTCAGTACCCACTCATAGTGGCCCTCATTGGCTTCCAAGGCTCTCAGTCTTTACAGAAATAGATTGCCTCATCTTCCTCCCGCAGAGAAGCTGGTGGGTTTGAACCGCCGACCTTCTGGTTAGTAGTCAAATGCCTTACCCACTGCACCCCCCAGGGGCCCTTGGTACATATTAAGTGCTCAGTAAATGGTGGCCAGTTCTGATGCTGATTCAGAATTGATTTGGGGGTCATTCCTTGGACTGTCCCTGAGACCAGCTCTGTGCCACCCCCTGGGCTGAGCCTGGGGGACTTAAGGGACCTGGGGCTCACTCCTCCAGCCTTGGCTTCCATTGGCACCTGTGAGGGACTGGAGAGTGAAGGGGGTGGGAGTGGAGAGGGAAGGGGGCCCCCAGTTCAGGCCTGCTTGCTTAACTAGAAGGAGGTGGGTGTAGTAAGGGGCCAGGAGGGTGTGAAGTAAGGAAGCCGCAGGTTGCATGAGCTGGCAGAGACCATGATGCAGGTTGCTTGAGCTGTCACAGACAATGACACACACCGGACTGGCCCCACCTCCTTCCTTTCCACCTCGTTTCCTGCCTCTCCCCCCTCTGTCTCCTGGCAGACAAACATAGGTACATCTTTGTTGAATGACTCTATGATAATGGTTAACAATAATAGCTGACAATTACTGGGTGCAGTTCGGGGTGGATGGCGTGCTGAGTGTCTGGTGTGTATCATCTCAACTTTGTAACAGTGGTGTGAGGTAGGGACTATTACAGTCCCCATTTTCCAAAGGAGGAAACTGAGGCCCAGAGAGGTTAAGTCAGCTGCCCAACATCACACAGCTGGAAAGTGGTGTGATTTGAAGTTAGATGTGCCTGACCCTAGGGGAAAAGCAGTGGGGAGACTGTGGCTAGAAGCGCCGAGGGCAGCTTTCCGCCTCTCCCTGGTGTCACCTGGCCACTGCTGGCCTATCCCACTGGCTGTGCTGGGAGGCCTGCGTGGGGCCCACTGCTCTCTTCCCCTGCCCAGAATTCCAGGCCATGGAACATTCCAGGACTCTATGACCTGTGCTCATGGGTCATGCTGGAACCCTGACCCCCAGCTGGCAGCTGGGGCCTTTATGAGGTGGGGGCTCCCCTCGCGGTCCTCCTTGACCGCAGCTGAGAGGAGGGTCACAGGTACTTATGTCATTCCTTCCAGAAGGCCAGCAGGCCACCTCCTTTCCCAATGGGATGGAGCTGAGGCCTGACAGAGTGGGACAATATGGAGGGGTGGGGTTTGCCCATTGGGGGGCACTTTCCCCCAGGGATTCAGCCTGGCTCCGGGGGCTTGGGCTGGGAGCAGAGAGGGGGCATTTCTAAGTGATAGACACTGAGCACTCAAGTGTCGGGGCGGGGGGAGACGGTTACCATCAGTGGGGAGGGGTGGAGGAGTTAGAAACGGGGGGTCCAGGGCTGTTAGAGCTTCCAGTTATTTCAGGAGAATCTGAAATCTGGAGGTTGGGGCTGACGTCCTGTAGCTCACGGGTGTGGGCACAGAAAGCACCCGGGAGGGGTCAGCGATGAGCCGAGTGGCCTGGGGCAGCCTCTTTGGACCCTGGCGCCAAGTTCCCCATCCTGCCTCGGTGTGACCTTCAGTGACCCTGAGCTCAGACCCCTCCTCTGTCTCCGGCTGCCAGCCCCAGCTGTCCCACCTTACAGCCCAGAGGGGCGAGGACTTCCCCAGAGTCTTTGCTGCCTGGGCTGGTCCCACGTGACCTGGAGCCCAAGCCTCATGACTCACGTCCATTCACTTAGTGTCCACTGGGCACGGCACCGTTGCTGAAGGCCAGGGCAGCGGTGGGGGAAGCCTCGCCTGCAGCCGGGCTGGCCACCTGAGCCTCGGGAGGCTGGCCAGGAATCCCATGTCCCAGTGACAGCCTCAGGGCTGGGCAGGCCTGTCCCCGAGTGCCTGGTCTGTGTGCTTCTTTGAAACGCCCCCCTCCCTGCCGGCCTCTCAGGCTCCCTGTGGCCTGCCAGGACGCCCTGCCCTGGACCCCTGGACCGGCTGTGACAGCCCTTGGGGACCCAGATCTTGGGATTAAGCCTGTCTTTGGAATGTGTCCCAGAGCTTCCCGGAGGCGGAGGCGAGGCGGACACTCTGTGCTAGTGCCTTTGTTGCCCCCTTCCCCAGGGGGTCTGGCACCCAGCAGGCTCAGGAAACGTCTAGAGACTGGATTCAACCTGTGGCTGAGGGCTTCCTGCCCGTCTTCCCCCAGCCCGCCCTCCCCTCTTCTTCGTTCCTCTCCTCCCTCCCCTACTTCCTCCCCCTTCTCCTCGTCTCTCACTCCCTGCTCTCCCTCTTCCCTCCTACCTAGTGCCTGAGGGCGCCGGGGTCTGTGCTGAACTCTAGGGAGCCAGGGACACCGGGGAGGTAGAAGGGACCGATGGTGTCTTCATCCTCCGGGAGCCCACGGTGGTGGCATGGGGCAGCCCTGGCATTCTCACACGGAGCTTTGATGTGAGGGTGCTCACGGCTGCGCAGCCCCAGCCCGGGCACGCAGGGCAGGATTCCAGAACAGAGGCCACAGCAAAGGGCGGGTCTCAGATGACAGGCCTCCCCCGTGACCTAGCCTCTGAGAGCCCCCGTCTCCCTCCAGGTCAGCCATGTCATCCGAGCCTCCCCCACTGCCGCAGCCCCCTGCCCACCAAGCTTCGGTTGGGCTGGACACCCAGAGGGGACGGGAGCGCTCACCATCCCCGCTGCGGGGCAATGTGGTCCCCAGCCCTCTGCCCACTCGCCGGACAAGGACCTTCTCCGCGTGAGTCTCAAGCTGGCCCAGGAAGGGGTTCTGGGGGGGTTCCTGAGAGACGTCTTCCATCCAAGGCTAAGATTACTGTCTGGCCAACAGCATCCCTGTCTGTCAATGGGCAGCCTTGGGCAGGGTGAGAGGCTGGGGAGGTGCCCTGTGAATTCTGGAGGGTGCTGGTGCCCCACACCCTGTCCTGAGCCCAGATGAGGGGTGGCTGCAGCAGGCAGGAAACCTCCAGGCTCCTAAGACCTCCAGGCATGACCCCCCACAAGCCTGTTCCCCTTTGGGACCTCGACATCCTTGGCTACAAAGTGAGGACTGTGGCAGGTGGCCATGAAGATAGAATGGAGTTGTCAGGTGTCCTCCCAGTGCCTGCCAGACACAGGTCTGAGCCCAGGAGTGGAGGCTGCTTCTGGTACTGACTGTGAATAATGAGGCCCCTAACAGGTGCTCAGAGAGGTTTCAGTGCAAGCCCCTTTGTCCAGATGGGGAAACTGAGGCCCAGAAACTTGCCAGGGTGGCCCAGAGCTCAGTCTCGCAGAGCTGGGCCTTCTGGAGTCTGTGGGAATGGCTCCCAGGGTTGTGCATGGCGGCCCTGGCTAGGACTCCCCAGGGCACACCTGTGGGGGCGGTAAGCACCCCAGGAGAGCATGTGGCTGGCATGGAGGCCCCCTCACGCTTCTCCCCCGTCAGGACCGTGCGAGCTTCCCAGGGCCCTGTCTACAAAGGAGTTTGCAAGTGCTTCTGCCGCTCCAAGGGCCACGGCTTCATCACGCCAGCTGACGGCGGCCCCGACATATTCCTGCACATCTCCGAGTAAGCCAGCGGGGGGGCTGGGTGTGGGGTGCAGCGCTGGTGGGGGCTGGGTGTGGCAGGGTGCTGGGGACGACGGTGTAAGGCCGCCAGCTGTGTACTACTATCTGTCTGGCTTGGACCCCATCTGTGATTGTGCGTCTGTTGGGAGCGACTGTCTGTGGCCGTGTCTGTGTGTGAGGCCGGTGGTGACAGTCCTGATGCGGTTGTTGCTGGGCATGTGTGCACACGTGTGTGCGTGTTGTGCGTGTGTGCATGTGTGAGTGTGTGCACATGTGTATGACTGTTGTGAGAAAGCGTGAGTGTGGCGTGTGTGTGAGAGACCCACTCGGGTGGGCCCGAGTGACCGTGTACACCTGGTGGAGGGGGAGAGCTGCTTGGGGGCCGGTGTCCTGCCGCACTGGGAGGCGCGGTCTGGGAAGGGTGGCTGGGGCTGCCAGTCCCTCTGTTCCAGGAAGGAAGTTTGGGGCCAGACCCTTCCTCTTGCCAGTTGGTCACTGATGTCCTTCCTTCCTGAGTGTCTGGAACCCTTGGGGTCCTTGAGGGTCCCGGGCAGGGCTTTAGGAGAGCCTGGGCCCACGTGTCCCCCCGGGGGCAGGAAGGTGCAGAGCCAGCCTGCTGTGTCTCGCTGCCACTCTTTGCAGGCGGCCTGCAGGTGTGCAAGGACCCTAAGTCTTGGGCCTGCATGCCCTAGTTCCGGCCCCCGCTCTTTCGTTTCAGACCGGAGCAGGCAGAGTCCCACCCCACACGGCACATCTGACAAAGGACAGAAACCACGGTTATTCTGATTTGACTGTGATTTGGGTGAAAGTCTCCAGAGCAGTTCATTTTCCACACAGCAGTTTGCACACACTTTGTGTCGTGACACTGACTACAGTCCCCACAGTGTAGCAGCTCTCTTCCTCTTCCTCCCTGTGGTTGCCTTTTCCCTGTGCCCTTCTTTCCTGTGCATTCCCTCTGAGTTGCCTCCCTGTGCAAACACTGCCCTTCTCATCTCCCATGGCAGACACCACATAAAAAAAAATAGGATCCTGCTGGGATAGCACTGCCTCTCCCCTCTGAACACATCCGTTTACAGTAAGCCCCACCTACAGTCTTGAGAAAGATGCGTGATCCATTGTATCCCTGCATGAAGCCTTGCATGGGTATGTAAATTTGTTTACTACGCATTGCATCTTTCCAGAGAGGATTTGCAGTGGTTTACAAAGATACACACAATGTAGCAGGAAAAATAAGTTACAAGGAAAACGGGGTGAACAAAGAAGAAAGACTGAGACATTGGGATGCCTAGCTCTGTTGTTGGAAGAGGCCTGACAATTTTGTTTCTGAGCTTCTTGGTGGCCAAATGAAAGAGGGGAGCATGGTTAACCATGAAATGCTGTAATTTAAATGGAAGCTGGGGGTGGGGAGGCATTCCCGGGAAGCAGCCCGGAGTGGCCTGGTGGCGCGGGGCCCCGCCCCACTGAGCACTCTCTCCCTGCCCTGCAGCGTGGAAGGAGAGTATGTCCCAGTGGAAGGTGATGAGGTCACCTATAAGATGTGCTCCATCCCGCCCAAGAACGAGAAGCTGCAGGCCGTGGAGGTGGTCATCACCCACCTGGCGCCAGGCACCAAGCACGAGACCTGGTCTGGACACGTCGTCAGCTCCTAGGCAATGTCGGGAGCCTCTTCTCCTGGCCTTGTGGGAGACTCTGGGGGAGGAGGAGATGACAGGCCTCCAGAACAGCTCGCCCCCTTCTGTGGAAGGGGGGTGGGGCCGGGGCCAGGGATGGGGGTGGTCTCAGCCCCCAGCACCACCTCTGACCACCAAACGACTTCTCACCATCTGAAAAGCATTAAAGGCATTTAAACAAGACAGGCGCCCCTCCGGTGGCCAACCCAGCTGGGTGGCAGCGGGAGGGGGGTCGGCGAGGACCTTCCCCAGCAGCCTGGAGAAGCCAGTCTGGCCTCCAGGCCCCTCTTACCTGGCATCAGTGGGTCAGAGACCCCAGGTCTGCCCCACTGGGGGCCCTTTGGGGCTTGATGAGTTCCTCCCCTTGTGCCCCCATTTCTCCTTGGGCCCGAGGGCAGTCTTTGGGGAACTTCTTGGCTTAGTTGGATTTAAAGGAGCTGGCTAGTGGGGGTCGGGGTGGGGGAGTGGGGGTCTTCACCTTTTAGTGCCTTTCTGCAGCCGTCTGTTGGTGCTGGGAGGGTGGATCTGAACCTGCTCTGGGAGGCCTGCTTGGGGGGTTGGTGGGGTGGGCCGTGTTTCTGGCAAGAAGTTGACAGGGAAGGGCACCCTAGTGCTTTCAGACCTGCGTTAGGAGATGTTTAGGAATGTTTTTTCCTAATGACTGAGGCCCCCTGCACCCCTAGGGCCAGCTACGTTTGCAAACCTTTGTAGATGAACGTTAGGGAACCAATCCTTAGGGTTTACTTTGCTGTGATTTGGTTTGGCTTGAGTTGTGATTTAAACACAGAAATAGTTGGGTGAGGTTTTGAAGCATGTGGCCTGTATGTGGCCAGGAGTCCACTTGTCACTGCAAGGAGGGGAGGCTGGAACGGGGGCATGTGGGCAGATACCCCTGCGGTTCTGGGTGGAAGAGGAGACTCTGCCGAGGGTGATGTTGAAGTGCTGATGGTCTCCGTCCACATTCCTCACTCTGGGGCTTTGTCCGAGTCGGGGTAGCTAGCTAGAAATATTTGCCGGTGACTGGGGAGGTGTTTTAAAACAAGCCAGTAGGTCTGTACCCTGCGGGTGCAGTCACACATGCAGGCTGTCCCCGCCGCAGTTCAGTCCTCAGGAGTCCAGTCCCCTCCCCATTGGGGCCCTTGAGCTAGCTCCTGGGTGGCTCAAACGGTTAAGTGCTTGGCTACTAAAGGTTGGCAGTTCGAGGCTACCCTGGAGGTGCTTCAGAAGACAGACCTGGCAGTCTGCTTCTGAAATGTTCCAGCCTCGACCCCGTGGAGCACAGTCCTGCTCTGCACACGTGGGGTCGCCATGAGTCAGAGCTGACGCCACAGCAGCTGGCTGGCTGGTTGGTTTGGTGCCCCTTGTAGGGGGTCCTTTCTCTCCTGAGTGCCTTCTGCTGGGTCAGAGGTGACCTTCTCGTCCACCTTTGGGTTGCTTCCCAGTCAGTTCCCTGGAGGCCTGTCTGCTGGGTGTGGACACCGTCTCCAGAGCCTCCTCTCCCTCAGGCATCTAAGGCTTTGCCACAAAGTCCAGGCCCCCAAGACTCCGCACGCGTGTGCTGCCGGCACGGGCTGGGAATCCAATCCTGCTGCTCACGGGCGACCTGCTCCCTGCGTGAGCGCACCCCAGTGGTCCAGAGCTGCCGCATGCTGAAGCCGGGCAGATGCGCTCCCCCAGCAGGCAAACAGCCCGTCAGATTAGGACCCCCGAGCTCTGTGTGTGCGCGCGCGCGTGTGCGTGTCGGGGGCATGGGATGGACACTGCTGCCGGAGACGGACTGCGAACAGAAGCAGCGTTGCCAAGGCCAGGCCTTTCCTCCAGCTGGCCGCCTTTCTCATAATAAAGTCTGTTCTGTGCAGGGCTCCGTGGTGTGTGTGCATGGCTGCTGGCTTCCTTGGGAGCATTGCCTGTAAGATGCACGCAGGGAAGGGCATCTCCTGAAACAAGGCTGACAGCCATTCTGCTTTGTGGTCTGATTTATTGGGGGCGAATACAACGATGGGTCCACCTTTTCTTCCTTAGTCACCATTTGCGAGTGTGGCAAAGCTTAGCTGTGGAACATGGCTTAGTGACAACAGATGCAAAAGGCCACTTCCTGGGTCATTTGTGGGTAAATGTCTGTTAACACGAAGCCTGTTAGACTTTATCGTGTGAGAGAGTAACCTCACTTCTGCCGTTCACCTATGGTGAGAAAGGTCGCGGGGATCCAATCTCAACTTGAACTTGCTGTCAGCAGGCAGCCGCCCATTCCTGGAACACCTGTGCTGCAGGCTGGCTACTTCCAGCAAGAAAGACAGGCAGCTGGCTAACCCTTGAGGATCTCACCCACTGGCCTGCTGCCACTGCGTCGGTTCCCACTCAGTGACCCTACAGGGGTCTCCAGGCCATCAATTTTACCTTGAGACCCTTAGGGGCAGCTTGCCATGTCACTCTCCCGTGGACTGGCTGGTGGGTTTGAACCACCAACCTTTCAGTTAGCAGCGGAGCACTTAGCAACTGTGCCCCTAGGGCTGCTCCAAGGATCCTGCAGGCTCGGGACAGCCACCTGGTGGGAGGCGGGCTTCTAGGAGGGGGTTGAGGAGCAAGGGTATTCCCCACAAAGGGAAGTTCGGAGGTGGGGCTGCAGGGTGGTCTGGGCAGGGGGCACCTTA